TAAATTGAGGAGCTCCAAAGATCACTGGACATTGATTAGGCTGATATTAAAGTCATTCAAATGCTACGTTTATATGTCAGAGTGAAATGAGACGCCTTTTTTTTTTTCAGCATAAACCAGAACAAATGAGCGTCGCGGGAACGCACGATCGTACGAACGTACGGTTATATTTCAAATCTCTGTCATCAGCGAGCCGGGACGTTTTTAATAATCCCCTCAGACCTTAGTGACTTTGCGTATGCACGAGCGCGGCTGATGTGGACTCACCGATGCAGCAGTTTGGCGACAGTTGGAGTCTGTAATAAAGTCACGTGATGAGCCGCAGCGGTCGGCGGCTTCGAACCTCATACTTAATCTGCGGTTGGTTTTGAATTGAATACATCTTGTAGGAGCTTCATGTTATAGATAGATAGTGAAGTAAAAAGTTGTATTTTTTTTTTATTATTATTTCACTCCTCTAACAGGAGGAAATAAAGTGTCTGTGTGGTGATTGATGAGCCGCAGCGCCGCGCGGTTATCAACAAATGGGCCGCAGCAGATCTTATGTCACGATTAAAGCTGCTGTTAATTCCACGCCAAGGTAATGAGTGAGGAGATTGACGGCCACTGTCCGACACTCCATCACAGCTTTATAGGTAGTTCCAACGTTTTCACGACTCTTCTCCTCCTTCATTTGCATTTCGCCTCATTAGAAAAGGCCATTTCTGAGGCGCTCGGCCATATCCATTTCCTGCAGCTAATGTCTTTTATTTGATCAGACAAACCTGGACTGTTAACTAGCTGTCACTCTGGACGGCTTCCTTCGTGGATGACATCACTCCACCTCCGCCTCCGTGTCCAAACCAACACCCTTCCACTGCCTTTAGCAATTAGGACGCGCGGGCGTCAGCGGATGTAGCTTTATTGCCTTCTCTGGTAGGTTGACACGAGGTTGCCCCAGTTGTTCTATCCGTCTTTGACTTCCCAATATTGTTCCTCCTGCAGAAGGAGGCTTTTTGAGGGTTTATTTTTCACAAGAGCTGGGAGCAGAGGCCCAGTGGTCGGCACTCAGAGGGCTGGGAGTGCACGGCCCCGCCGACGGAGGAGGGAACAGAGGTGTTTCTGGAGGCCTAATGGCATTTTGATGTTCATGAGCACAGAAAATGAGACCAAGGGGAGATGGGGAGGAGAGGAGGAGAGAGTGAGGCGGAGAGTGGAGAACTGTCAGCAGAAGACCAGAGGAGGTGGTGGTTCATGTCACAACTGATGACGTTTGCTTTGGGAAGGAGAAAGGAACTCAGGAGAGGTGAAGGGATGAAAATTAATTTTTTTTAAAAAAAAGCATGTGATTCCTCTGGGAATCAAACCCAAGAATCTCCATTCTTTGGGACCAGACATGCTACCACAGTGACCTCCTTATTTTAAATACCAGGAGTGGGGATCGAACCCACGAGGACATGTGTCCATTGGATCTTAAGTCCAACGCCTTAACCTCTCGGCCATCCTGGTTGACCTGTTGTCAGAATAATCTACCTTCTTTTCAAATGCTGCTTCCATTTATTGTTTTTTTCAAGTTTTTCCAATTGCATCTTCTTTTAAATTTTATTTTGAAATACGCGCTCTTATTTTGAAATGAGTAAAAAAAAACCGGAAGTAGCGCCTGTTTGCTCCGTGAGCTACAGACGGAGGAGCACCTGTAGCGGTGATGTTATCTGCGAGATTCGTTTGTTTTTAATTATTATTATCGCTCCAGTTTTCGTGCTGTTTTTTTTTTTTTTTCAGTTTTTTTGTAGCTCTAACTTTGAACGTCAACAGTTTAAACTGCGATAAATGACAAAAACACGTGAAAATCTTCGAGGTTTTCGCTTTCAGAAAATTGTCAAACGGCTCAAAATTGAATTGAACTCAGACCAAAAACTAAATAAATATATAATGATAGTGGCCTCAGATAATTTATAAAAGTATTAATAGTGACTTTGATGTTTTTATTTAATTCAAGGAATATAATTTCCTTGAATTAACTAAACTACATCCTCGAGACTGAGGCTCAGTTTTTGTTTGTTTTTTTTTTCTTCTATTCTTTTTTCTATTTTCTCTGATTCATAAGATGAATATTTGATCCTGCTGTTAAATCATACATGAGAGGAAAAATAAGTTTTACAGGCCACTGGAGACCAATCATCCCACCTCTGGTGTCGGAGCCACTTTGTCCATTTATCTTTTGTTTTTGTCTGTCATGGCGTGCACGACCAAAGGAGAGAAGAAGAAGAAGAAAGAGAAAAAAAAAAAAAGCAATTAAGTTTAAACCAGCCACATGAAAAGAGCAAAACAAAGAGTAAACTCAAGTTAGCTGGTGTCAGACAATTTTAGCTTCTCGAGGGCGCTGCCTCCACGCCTCGCAGGGACACGCGTTTTTTCCTTCTATTCCTCAGATTACACGGGTTACTGCACCAGGTGACCCTGGTGGTCAAACGGCCGACACGCAGCCTGAAGTTTGAATTCGTTTCCCTTTTAGCACAGCAGCAGAGAGGTTCATTCTGAACTGTTTTCACAGATGTGTTTTTTTTTTTTTTTTTTGTGCAGACCCTGAAATACAAAATACGACCGAAACTAATATTTTGACCCCTTTTAAATGTGAGCCTGTGTGGTTGATTCTCCAAGAAAATACCCCCCCACCATCTAATGGCCTTTTTCATAACCAATGAAGAACCTTAAGAAAGCAGCAGGGCTAACGTGCAGCCTCTGACTGTTTATCTCCTCCAGCTCCAGGCCATCAGTAACAATTCCAGACCAGGCCTGTCATTTTTTTTTTTTTTTGCGCCTCCTGCTGAGCTGTTGAGATGAGTCACCCCTGGCGGAAAATCACCTGTTTAGGTGTCCTCCTCATTCTGAGCTCTGGTTCCAACGGCTGTCCGTATTACCCAGTACCAGGAGCAGCTCTCTCTCTCTCTCCCTCTCTCCCTCTGTCTCTCTCTCTCGTCTTTTCCCCGTCTGAGGTTTAGCAGAATAACACGGCCGGTGAACAGGGCTGTCATTGAATGAAACTCAAATGATAATGTTTTCAAAATCAATCTGAAACTGTTTCAAACGCCTATCACACCTCAAAACAACCTAAACGTGTTTTTTTTTTTTTTTTTGGCGGGTGGGCTTTGGCGGGGCGGGGGGCACAACATGATCTGTGACCGTGCACTATTTTCACTTTGCGTTCAGTACTCAAAGGTGAGCTGGTCGTGACTGATCTTCTCTCTGTTTTTGAGGTGATTATTTTGATGATTATACAGCAGTGATTATCAACTGGTGGTTCGAGGGCCGTATCCAGCTCGCCAAACTGTCCAATTCCGGCCCGCGGCTGGATTCAAAAATAAATATCAAATGATATTATTAGACAAAAATGTGATTTTTTTAATTTTTTTTATTTCAATATATTTGAGTTTCTGTCCACAAAAAAAAATCTGGCCCTCCGACAAAACCAACGATCCGAATCCCATGTTTATTTTTTATTATTATTATTTATTATTATTATTCGTGTTATTTAGACGTGTTATTTAGTGAGGGTTACTTTATAGCAACAAAAAAAAACAAAAAAACTTCGATTAGAACTCAGATTCCCAGCTGCATCTTTACATACAGTCAGATTTGAACTGTTTTTTTTTTTCCGAAGCCTTTGACGTGGGTGGATTTTTCCAGAGGACAAGCTGTGGACACGTAGAAGACAATCCCGCGATTATGGGGGAAAAGCTGGATGACTTTCAGACGAGGTGGAGGCAATATCCATCACGGCCAATTTGAGGCCACCAACATGAAATATGATTTCATAAGACAAATGCAGTGTCATTCTTAATGTGCTTAACCTTTACTGTCAATGAAAAAGTATTGATTGCTGGGTGGCATTTTTTCATCATTTGATTTCAGAAAGTGTAATAATATATGGTGGCGGCGACGGCGGCGATGGCGGCGTTGAGATAAAAGATGAAGCATCTCAGATGAACAGAGCCCAATTCCCCGCAGAGCACGGAAAGTTTCTGTTCCTGCAGATGAATCTCCGTCGCTGTAAACACATTCTTGTTTTTTTTTACATAATGCGTCTTTTATGAAAACATCTTTTATATATTAAACTGGGCAGCGGCCGAGCAGCTCCATCAGCAGACTGCTCCTAAGCAGCTTTTTTGGCTATTATTTCTCTATTTTCTCTTGAGTAATTGGGAGGTCTCTTATCTCCTCCCGGTCTTTGATCTACTCACTCAACCTAATAAGACTTTGCTCTGCTGCGCTGCAACCAAATCAGGAGTGCATTTTCAGGCGCCCTAATAAGTGGTTAGCTTGATTTATATGGGTAATCTGGGCGACGTGGCAGGGCTCTCTCTCCCAGACGCGGGGAGCTTGAGCCAGACCTGATGAGTCCATTACAGCCGGGGGTAAAGATGGTCATTTAACCCTCGGCGTCGTCACAAAGAAACGCTGCGCCGGTGCCTTACGACCAAGAGGGATTCCTCAGTCGAAGCGTTATTGAAGCGGTTGACGATACGGTGATGCATGGCCCACACCGGCGAGAAGCTGTTGGACGACCGCTGCGGGTGGAGGGACTGGGCCCGGTCCGCGGGGAGCCCCCTGTGGGCCAGACGGAACACTTAG